CTTTTTTGAGACTTGTTGGTCAATACATGATAATTTTTTTATAATTCAGATAACATCCCCTTCGCGTAATGATATCTTACAGGTTTATAGTGACAGCGTCGAATAACACCAATTTAGGTAGAATTTCAGAGCCACTACCTCGGTACGTACCTTTATCACAGACCAGTGGACTAGCGAATACGAGAGAGGCAGGACGTCTGGCCAGCAGATCGGTGCTGGAAGGTGGACTGGATGGCGATGTTTCCGTCTTGCAACGCGCTTTGTCAGCCGAGGAGCTCAAGAAGCCATCGAATCCAAATATGGCTGCATAGTTGCCGGTTGAGTCTGTGGAGGGCGACGCTAGGCCCGGCGACGATAGTTGTCCAGCAGAAGAGAGATGTGGAAGAACATGAGACGGAGTCGGCGGTGGTGTAGCTCCTTGTGATAGCAATGGTCTGGGACTTGTTGCCAACGGACTGGTCGATTCCACAGAATTCGACTGAGCTAAGCTCTGTAGATGGCTTTGCACCTTGTTGCAAGAGTAGTACTGATGGTTGTAGTGCCCGGAGTGATGCTGGTGGTAATTGTGATTGTGCCCGTGGTGTACGCCTCTTCCGGGAGCTCCTTTGCACGTTTGATAATGTCGCTTAAGTGTGCCATTCTGGGAGAACGCCTTTCCGCAAAACTTGCACTTATATGGCCTCTCGCCTGCGAAGTACGAAGCGAAGGAAGAGGAGACGGAGGGGAGGGTAGATGAGGATTCTAGAGGTACTCAGAATTAGAAAGAATACGACTAAGAGGAAGGCTGACTTCAAGAGCCTCAAACAAATGCAAGAATTCACATATTCGCTGTGCCTTGCCAACATTGATTACATGAGTGACAAAATGTCCGGTTTGCAACAAGGACTTTAATCATGTAAGCGGCAACGAAAATGAACGAAATTGCAAATATTTTTTGTTCATTAGTAATGCTAGTTATTATGCTAATGATAATGCAGATTACTTTCTTGAGCACCAAAGAGGCCTTAGTGAGGGACGAAATGACAGTCTCAAAGTGGGTATTATCAGGATTATAGAGTAAAGGAAGTGGGTATGCTAATTTTGAGTAAATTTGCCAAATAATTAGCCTAGTAAATTAGTTTCATTCGAAAGCTAATGCGCCGACTTTCGATGAAAAAGTTTTACGGATCACGCTGTTGTCAACTAAAGTGTTTATGTGAACACCATTTTTGTGAGAAAACACTGTAAAAAACTAAGAAATTCTCCTTTAAAAAGACATGTATATGAACGCTGTAGAGACTTTTTATTTGGTATGAAAGTGAATGATGAGGGGATTGGTCATCTGATCTAATAGGAAGAAGACGGCCGAATCCTTTGGTTCTGCAACTTTAATACGAGTTGTATATTTACGTAGCCCACGAAGAATCCTCATTCGTGCAAAGCTCTTAAAAAGACATTAGATCAATAAGAACATATATCTACTAGTCTTAGATAGATGAATCATTATTTTGATATTTTGCATCATGTTAAGTGTAGGTTTGATAACTTCTTGTTGTTTATTAACTAACGGGATAATGGAAATATAAAAGTACAATTCTTTACCATTTTCGATGTCGTGGTTATCATAGCCGGAAGTAAGTTGTGCATGGCTGTAAATGAGAAACTTTGTCATCAACTTTACCCCCAAGCTATATAAATAAAATATGGGATGATATTTTAAACTCCATGATTAATTGGAGATTACGATTTTTATAATGGGCTAGTTAGGGATGGACAAAAATAATTTAGGAATAATTATCCTATAAGCTGGATTAAAAGCATCAGACCGATAAAAAATAAAAATTTGCAGGAAAATATGTAAGAAGAAATGAAGAGCCAGAGATCTGGTTGTATGCCATAATTACGCCTCCGTGTTTATTACCGAAATAGATGGGCCAACTGATAGGGAAGTGTGAAATAAAAGGGGTTTTCAAGAAAACTACGATAGTTATGTGTTTATGTGCTTATGTACTAGTTTTGAGCTGGAGACACTTGTGGCCCCATTTTCCAAAGTGTGGTTAAACTCAAAAGGCGGTTGGGAGAACGATCTGAGCTAGTGGAACCAACAGCAGAAACTGGAGATGATCTAGAATTGTCTCTAACGTTTCGTTCTGCTCACTATGCGGTATCTGCCTGTAAAGTCAAATTTAGAAGCAATCGAAATTAACAGATTTTAATATGCATTTTCCGTCAGGACATAAAGTAAACAGTTAATTGGGAAATACTTGTCAAATAGTGACCCAAAGATAAAGGGCGGTGAGTCACCCAGAAAAAAGGGGCGACTCAACTAGTCCTTTTGGCATAGTTTAAATTACATTCCCACTTTATGGATTACCTACTTCATGCAAAAAAGCTCATTTCTTTAAACATATCTGTCCGGAATATCGTGATTGGTGTGATGGT